TCATTCACACGTGAATTTTAAATATTGATAATGTAGGCACTTTTCTGAGCAACCCATGGGTCGATTTGGTTCTGTGGTTGGTAGACATTTGTTATTTATTAATTAGGAAAGGGATCTTGAATCATATCAACCCTCTTCAGTGACTATATTATATCACTTTCATACTTTCTTAAACATTGAGAGAAATGATCATTTTTTAACGTGCAGTTCTCAAGAGTATCTAGCAACAATGCCGAGTGGATGGCAGTCTATTGAAGTGACTTTGCCGTTTACGCAGAAAGACATCACGATTTTCTCTAGTACCTACTTATCATTTATAATACCTGTCACTCTGGGTCTCTGTTTGAACAGATTACAGTAAAATGACATCATCCCGCAGCTTATCTTCAAAATTGCTTTCTAATTGTACAAGAATGTTGAGTGCTCCGTGCTCGTCGAGCACGAAAACTTTTTTGTAGGCTGAATTGTGGTTTCTTAATTGGTTATTTTGGCTAAATACCTCGACATATTTTCTCATTGATCCGACCCACATCGGCTTAGTCACGACATCAATTAGGTATGGCATACGAATATCATTTTCCATTTGCTCGCTGTATAATTATATGGGGTTTATCCTCGGGTTTATCTCAGGAGAAGGAATCTCTTCTTCATGCTTATACTTCTGTTGATACATTAGTTTTTAAAGCGGACCGAATTAATCTTATCTTATCATTGCCAAGATTTGATTGGACCTCTAAAGGTCGTGGAGATAAACGATATACACACATACCTCAAATTTTTTTCTGTTAAGAATTCAGGGCTATTTCTGAAAGCTCAAATGGTATCAGTTTAAATAGAATTCCAGAAAAATTGTGCACTTAGAGGTGGGTAATATCAAAGACTATTTCCTGTCACCAGAAGCAAAGACTATCCTCATAGTCTTTGCCAAAAGTGACCCTACATTTCGAAAATTTAAATTGTTAACTGGAACTGAGGGGGAGAATAATAGAGTATGCCATATTTTTCAAAATAGTTCAACATCGCAGAAGTGGGTTCGGACAGACAAAACGCAAATAATAGCACTTTTTTTTTTAATTTTTAAAGAAAATGGGCTAAAGTGTAGTAAGGTGTTTCCAAGCTATCCGTGTTTTCAATTATAAAATTAAGTTTTCTTATTTTAAAAATCAAACCTGAGAGCTTTCACTTCAATTTCTGTGCCCCCGATTGTTTAATCGTCTCTTAAACGTGATGGATCTCAAAACGACCTTCACACAAGTTTTACCATTATATTGAATTAAAATATACACACCTCCGAATGCTATAAACAAAATTTTAATCCAACCAAAGGACTAGTACTTATCACTGAATTTATAATTATGTAATTTTCCACTCAATGAAACAAAATAACCAAAAATCCTGTTTGGATTGATTCTTATCAGTAAATATAATACAAAATCAGATAATGCACATAATTTTGACGGGTCGATTCCTTTAGGAATATTAAAATTACATCAAACAAATTTAATATGCAAATTCGTAAAAATAACCGATCACTAATTACTACAACAACAAAATTAAAATAACTTACAGTAATTGCCGTGAGTAATATTTCTTTCTGGTAACAATTGATCTTATCTCTCCTTGGAAACTGCCACTTCCTTTAGAAATATGGAAAGAGATCGTTTTGATGGTACAGTTGACTTCTTGCAGCGCCCTGCTAACGTTATCTGCGTGATGAATACAAAGTTTGGCGGAAGAAGGGTTCGTGTGAATCCCGAATCCAAGCAAACCGGCTTCAATTTCGCGAAAGTCATACTAGAGATCGTGATTATGCAAATGAATTAAAAATGTCTATGTTCGGCTGTGTATATATTAATCTTGTCCAATTTATTAACATTCGGTTTCGTTGCGGGCAAAATGCACCGATGAACTGTCTTTAAATAATCCGCCACATATCTGTATTTGTACGTAGTCGCTCTTAGCGTACCCAAATTGGTACCTGCTTGTTGGCGGAAATCAGCTTAGAATTCTCGCTCTCCCACATCTCTCGTTATTTGAATCTCGCCCGCTAGAAAAACCGAAACGGGCCTTTCTTTCTGAACGTTTTCGACTGGCGTGCCCCAACAACCAATAGAAAAGTTGGCTTTTTCAGTCGGTTCGAATGGAATGAACGCAACTTTTAGGTCGGAAGAGATCGTGGCAATCGCGGTATCGCTTTTTATCGCCAGACATACTTTTGTTCACGTTCGCTATGAAGCGGTATGTGTAAAATTTGTTAGACAAAATACATATTCAAAACTAAATTTTTGAACCTGCAAAAGGGCCACCTGTTACAAAGGTAGATTGGATTGTTGAACATCTGAGGGTGAAGTCTACAGAATTATGTAATCCCAAAATAGAATAAATTTTTTGCCGTGCTCCAATCCACACGAACCGCCGAAACGTTTGTCCTTATAGACTTGGAAGAGTTACCATACACATGAACTGAATGTGTTATACATCTAAAAGTCGATCTTTGATGTTTCAATCAAATTTATCTGATCTATCCGATGCCACCACTTTCTCAATAGCGTCATATACAGTACTTATACGGTGGTATTTATTAAGAAGTAGCGATAGGGATTTACGGGTATTGTTTTTCCCTATGTCTACTTTTAAATGACAAAATGTCTTTTGAAGAGAGCCTAATTTTATGCATTCAAAATAACCTTTTAAAACAAATAAAGACTTAGCTGTCATATTAATTAATTTGAATATTGTCACTTTGGCTTCACAGAAAATAAATCTCTTAATTTCCTTAAACTGTTACTAATTGACAATATCAACTTTTTCTTTAGTTGAATACATCGCACGAACGAACATAAAAATACGGAAGCCAAGCAAAGATATTCAAATTAATTAATATGACATATATAGGTATAATTTCGAGCACAATTTATGATCAACATTGCTGATTTGAGATTTGTGAAAAACGTGGGGGCTGAAAGTCAAGATGGTCCCAATCCCCATAGATTTGAGTGCTGGAAGTACCATCTACCGTAAGACTATGTTTAAATATTTGACCGGCACAATCCAATATGCATGGAGCACAACTCGTTAAGTCCAGGTCCTAGAGCTCAAAACAGGGGTCCACCTTGCAAATTTCTGAGACAAAGAATTAAGATGCAGGGCTTATGCTTTTTGGGTTGCTGAATCCGAATTTGACATTTGCACAAAAATTCGCATGACGCGGGAGTCGCCATCTTGGAAAAATGGCGGAAAATCGGCGGTTTTTCCACAAAATCCGAAATAACTCTTTTGGTATCGGTTTTTTGGCGAAAAAACTTCAGTAATAAATTAAAGTACATACAATTTCCTTTGAGATGAGCCCTTCATTTTTGGACCGAGACAGTAGCAGTGGAATTTATACCGTAAAAAACCGAGTGGCTGACAGTCAAATTGGCCCCTGCACTTCAATTTTTAAAAATCTAACTTTCCAGATTCAGATACTCACATTTTAGCCACAACACTAGCACTTTTTTTAAATTGCGAGAGCTCTGTATATCTGCATACTGCACTATCAAAATAATCTTCTACCAACATATATCTAAAATTAATAAACAAATGAGCAATGCAGTTCCCCTTTTTACACCACGTGGCGGACTAAAACCTAAACTTGCAAAGAAACTTGAGGGTTTATCATAAAATACCGTATTGTACGGAAGAGCTACAAAAAACTGTATTTCGATATTTGCGTAGTTATGGAGAAAATCCACGGATGGATAGAACAATTATCAAATCGAAATTATGAGCAAAAAATTTGTCAAACAAATAAATGTGAACTTTTGACTGGAATTAATTAGTATGCAAATAAGATATTGATTTGCAATATATAAGCCAACTTTCACTACATTGACAAAAATGGCGTCCGGGCCATATTTCAAAGTTCGATTGCAGTTGAAATCACATCTCACGAGATAGCAAATCACAACTCATAGAAGATACTATCAGATATTGGGAACAAGATCTCAAAATCATGTCACAGCCATGGTGTTCTAAGGATTTTTTCTATAGTCCCTATGTTTATGGCTCTGGCACAGATTCTTGTGCCATCTGTATATTGTGACGGTTTTTAGTAGAAGAAAGAAATCTACATTCTTCTAGAAGGTTCACTAACGCATTGCAAAGATAATACACTACACCGCTTTGCAACAAATATTATGCAAATATAAACAAATGAAATACCTCCTGAACAAATGCTCTATTTATATGGCAAACGATTTGGAATGTATCGCTCTACAATATTGTTAATATACAAAATTTTGATAAGATCCCAAACCTTGGCCGTAATACTCCTAAAAATTTGTATTATTTTATGCCTCTGTTATTGTCTTCTTGAAATCATAAACCTGAATTACAATTTCAACAATACATTTGCTGGGTCAAAGGTCAGTTAGTACATGATCCGTAATTAAGATGAGATTAGATTTAAACCATTCTCTGATCGAAATTTTAGGTAATAAAAATTACAAAATAACAACTTTTTGTAATGAACAAATATTGGTACCTACTTATTCTACAAAATGTGGAAAGGTACACAGAGCCATGTGAGTCCCTAAGCTTTTGTCCCATTGTTAGATTATTGATTTGCAGTTTCTACATGTATTTACATCATGTTGTGTGTCTTTATTATACACCATGATTTATATTTCATACTTCTCTCCTCTTCTTGCAATGATTATTATTTATCTCGGTCGTTAACATAATCAGTTTGTGAAACTAAGCGCACTGGTACATAAACTTTGTACTTTAATTATTAACATTTTTAGAAGTCAAGGCAATTTGCAAGCAATGGCTTTAAATAGTGAAGCGAGTATAATATTTAACTAGGCTATCTACGTTAGCGAGTATCTTGTTTATTTTGTCTCTTAGTTTTTTTAGATAGCGTAAGTGAACGTTTAAAGATAACAAGATCATTGCAGTGTTAAATGAACAAAGCAAATCAAACGAACATTGTTAATTAATTCGCAGTTTTTTTGCAGGTGGGTCTGTACATTATGAACCAAAGCAACAGCCATCCACGTTATACAAAACCAATATGACGCAAAGAGATGAAGTACAAAAGTTTGAGCAGGGCCGCATTAGGTTTCTGCAAGAGGAACGTCTTCACATTCAAAAGAAGACTTTTACCAAATGGATGAACTCCTTCCTTCAAAAGGTGATGTGTGACACGTTTCACTTTAGCTGACCGTTTGCTTTTATAGGTACGAATGGAAGTGGAAGATCTCTTTACAGATCTAGCAGATGGCAAAAAGCTACTAAAATTACTAGAAATAATTTCGGGTGAGAAACTTGCTAAACCAAATAATGGAAAGATGCGGGTACATAGAATCGAAAATGTTAATAAAAGTTTAGCATTTTTACACACTAAAGTACGCCTTGAAAGTATAGGCGCCGAAGATATAGTTGACGGAAACCCCAGACTAATTTTAGGTTTAATTTGGACAATTATTTTAAGGTTTCAAATTCAAGAAATTGAAATTGATGTGGTAAGATCTTGCTTACTCATTTTACTCAAGCGCTGCTTGATGGTCACTTTTAGGATGAAGAAAATGAAAGTTCTGAGAAGAAATCTGCCAAAGATGCCTTATTGTTATGGGCACAACGTAAAACACACGGTTACGCAAATGTTAATATTACCGATTTTACTAACTCGTGGCGTAGTGGCTTGGGATTTAACGCACTGATCCACGCACACCGACCCGATTTATTCGACTACAACAACTTAGTACCTAATAAACACATAGACAATTTAAACCACGCATTCGATGTGGCGACTAATGAACTAGGAATACCTTCACTCTTAGATGCCGAAGACGTTGATAACACAAGACCGGATGAGAAAAGTATAATGACTTATGTTGCTTCCTATTATCACACATTTGCAAGAATGAAAAATGAAGCTAAAAGTGGCAGGAGAATTGCAAAGGTAAGCGCCTTCGTCCCATTCCTAGCTAGATCTTTGACTTTTCCAGATTATAAACCAAATGATGGACGCTGACAAAATGAAACTACTCTATGACAAACTTGTGACAGCTTTGCTAGAATGGATTCGTATTACAATTACACGACTACAAGACCGCGAATTTCCAAATTCTCTGGAAGGAATCCAAAGTCTCTTGCTGAGTTTTGGCCATTATAGAACACAAGAGAAACCTCCCAAATACAAGGAGCGGATAGAGATTGAAGCTCTGTATTTCCAAATAAACACTCAACTCAAAGAACTACGACAACCAGCCTTCGTTCCAGTAGATGGCAAACTGGTGCAGGACATCGAGCGCGCATGGGACATGCTGGAGCGAGCCGAACATAGTAGAGAAGTTGCCCTTCGTAGCGAATTGATGAGACAAGAACGACTCGAACAGCTAAATTATAAATTCGAACGCAAAAGTGTTCTCAGAGAGGGCTACTTGAAAGAGATGATACAAGTTTTATCCGATCCCCGGTACGGTTCTAACCTAACTCAGGTAGATGCCACCGTTAAGAAGCACGAAGCGATATCTGCCGACATTCTAGCTCGAGAGGAGAGATTCCACGATCTGTCCCAAATGTGCGAGGAGCTCGTGAACGAGAACTACCGCAATTCCGAAAAGGTGAAGCTGAGAGAAAACGAGATCTTGGAGAAATGGAGGGAATTATTAAAGTTGTTGAATCGTCACAAAACTAATTTGGGGAATATGACGACAGTCGTGACGTTATTGCGTGAAATTGATAGTACATTGTCAACGATAAACGTCTTGAAGGTGGAGTTAGGCTCTATTGACACGGGAGTTCACCTGTACGCGGTCGAGGAACTTTTACACAAGCACGCTTTACAAGAGTTACAAGTGACCTCTCTGGGGGAAACCGAACGAAAACTTCAACGATCTGGTGACCAGGCGGCCGCACATAATCCAAAAGAGGAGCAAATATTGAGAAACAAATTGGCAGATTTGGCAACATCGTACAAAGAATTGCAGGTAGGTACTTCGTGACACATCAGTAAGTTTTAAAGTTTAACATTAAACAAATTTAAGTATTTATATTTTTTACATTTAATCATTTCTTGATCGAAATTTATTTTAGAATCGCCATATTTATTTATATAGCGATGAATACGACGTACTACTCAAACACCTTGGGGACTGGAGCACTTAGAAGCATAATGACCCGCTTCTGTACAATTGAAACATTTTATTGTCTCTTTCGTCTTGCTGATTTTTAAAGTATTATCCAGGTTCACATCGCGTTTTTGAAGATTCGACGGTTGGCCTGAATCCGCGATCCACTTCGCGTATTTCGGTGGTTCTAGAGGCGATTCTGCGTTGAATCCATTCATGATTAATCGCCAATGTTCAGGTGTTCTTTGACTTCTATCACGTGTTTTCGCGATAAACCTGTTGCGAGTTGGTCTTTCGTTTCTCGAAACGATAGCCAGGTTTTGATAACAATTTATTCCACACTTTCCTTGGTTGTTATACTCTCTTCGTCATGTGTTTCCATTTTTTTGTGAGTCTTTCTACTATTACAAATGTTGCTAGGAGTTTTTCCTCAAAATATGTCCAGTTTTTATTCTGCGCCCGTCTCGTCTGATATCGGCTTTATGGCTCAGTGGTAGAGCATTGGGTTATAAATCCGGAGGTCGGGTGTTCGAACCTTGGTTGAGGTGAATTTTTCATCTGTGGCGGAGATGGAAATTACCTTAGACCAGTTCCGAGCATTCTACCGGCTACTCCGAATTAGGTTTTCCTGCAGTTTTCCTAATTCGTAAGGTAAATACCGGAGTAGTATAGACCAACTTAAGACCTTCTGCAGAGGCACCTCTAAATAGCACTATGCGGGTCACTCTGTGATTGGGCGCATGCCTGTTGAGGGCCCAGAACAAGAGAGGGATAATAAATAAAATGCCAATCACAGGTTCCACCATATAAATGTATTCTAGCGGTTTCTAACTTAAATTATTCCGGCCATTTGTGTAATAAAGCATATGAATCCCACAGCTACCTCTGAAATCTCCAATTGTTTTGTTTAAATCAGGCGTAATATGATAAACGTTGTCCCTTGGTCTCGTATGTAAGGCTTGCGCGTGTCCTTAGTTATTTGCCATTACCGCTAGTAGCTGGGTCATAGTCGCCGTTTGATGGAGCATCAATTGTGTTACGTCAGGCTTCCTGGAATCTGGGAATACAGTATTTACACGCTTGTTAACCACATTTTCCACTCGTTATCCCGTGAAGGAGTCTAGGAAAAAAAAACCCGGAATAAAAACCCCCTTTTTTAAATCTCCACAATAGGTAGGTATACATCTTAGGGCGATTGTACAAGGCAAGTATATACCTATAGTATAAGTTATTCCAAGTACAAAATCTGAAAATTGGATTGAATGTTTAGATTTTATACTTTAAATAGCTTATACCTGGTATATACTTGCATTGTGGAACCGGCCCTTCGTAAAATTTCTAAAAGTGCGAACTGTGTACTCCTGTGCTGAATTAGCTTGCAAAAAGCGTTGTTCAGTGACTTATACCTGGTTTCACAAAGAGTGTTAATCAATGATTATATGGTATATGATTGGTCGATTTTTGATGTTTACTAAGTGACATGGGCTCAAACCAACGTTATTCATCTGTTAAATATTAACAAATGATTGTGATCTTAATCACGTTTGCGAAAACATACTTTAAATTCATTTAAAATTATATATAATATAAATTATATTATATAAATTAATTATTATTATAAATTAATCCCAAAAAGGAAGAAAGCAAAATATGTACTGCTGCAAAGTAGACTAAAAAATATCTGCGAAGAATATAGCGCCGGACAACGAGATGTGGTAAATTTCTTAGAAGGTATAAGTCATAATATTAGGTTTAATTAGGGTTAGTGGTAGTGTAGGATAATATGCAATTACGTAGTATTTTGTAAAAATTGTGAAAATTTGTTAAAGTAGTTAGAGCGCGTTCGGCTGAAGTCAAGTGATGTACTCGGCGTACCTATTACTTACGGTAAACGTCCCCAAAAAAATGATGTTATGAAGGAAACATAATTAGAAATACGGTATGAGTGGTATTTTGTACCTCAGCACAATGCAAACGTCTTACATGATTTTTAAAAAGGTATATACAGTAGTCAACTTGACTAGTCTCCCTACTTTTCGACCCTGTTTCAAACCTTTGCACACTAAATGTTGACGACACACCGCGACTAAATATTCACAGTGTAAGCGGTAAATCCTAAACGAATATATTTATTTTTCATCAAAACGTATGCGAGACGTATGTAAAAGCCGGGAAACTAAATAATTTGGCGTTTTACGTGAAGTCGGTGTAGTGGATTTGGTTTTTCGATGTTGGCGCCAGAGATCCCCAGCCGCTATCTTGATCTCGATCCGATCAGTGTGTCAACAAGACGTGTGCAGGCCTTTATAAATATCGCTGGTTTTGATGTTCTTTCTGAAAGACACCATGCCTTTTGTGAAGAAAAGTGCTCAGCAGAAGAAGGAAAAGATGGTCCTAGCTCAGTTATTTACTAGACCTAGTGGAAAAGTCATCAGATTTAAACGCGTGCTGCATAGCGTGCCGCCGCGTCAGAGCAGACGCCGCTCCGGCGGTAAATATCTTCCTTATTTCATCATGAACATGTACTTTTCCGTGCATATTTAGATTCGTCACAAAATTTCGCTTCTAATGAGACCCATCTCATTTAAGTCTTGATACAAAAACCTTCGCTAGCTCAGAAAAACTGAGTCTGTCCATAAGAGCCCATGTTAAAATACCCTGTTTTTACTGTCAAATATCTCAGAAACGGCACATAGGAACACTTTTTTCTTTTGACCATTAGAAAGTGCGTCTCTCAGAGAATAAGTGACCAAATTTTCACCAACTTCTTGTTACTTTTACCTAGGCGCTCTAACTACTTTAATAGAATCTCAACCGAGTTCTGTTTGATATTCCTGTTTCAGTAAACAATATGCAACTTTAGCTCTCGCGCAATATTTTCTTTTTTTCCCTGTGGTTTTTCTTCCGGTTTTTTACCAGGGGGTCTTTCTTTCCGTGGGGTTTTCCGGGAGGGGGGGTTCTTTCCATGGGTTTTTATTCCGGAGTTTTTTTTCTAGGGGCCTTTTTTCCGGTAATGAAGGTAGACGATATCAATCAATAAAAATGGCTGACTGTCATTTCAAAAATTTCAAAAATATGATATACTGTATAATTAGGTATATAAAAAAATGTAGATTGTGATACATCAATGTAATCAAGAAAAAGAATGCAAGAAATAGAAGTTAAGATATACAGGGTGTTGTATTTAAAAAAAATACCATTTTTGGGTCAAATTTTAGAAAAAGTGGTTAACAATTTTTTTGACTATGCAACTGGAATCTATGTAAAAATATCCAAAGTAGGCAGTTTTATCTTTTTCAGCGCATTTTCCAACGAAGTTGTGTGCGCTATTGCAGCCACTTTCTCTGTTCGTGCATCTGTCTATCTGACCGTCTATCCTACAGTTTTCAAGATATTTAGTTCGTTCTTTTTGCGTTCGGTAGTGTATAGCTCTGGCACCTGAGGCAAAGAATCACGGTTGAATTTGAATTACAGTTTAAGATGTATATACTTTGTTTGATACAATTTCATAAGGTTATATGAAGCTAGTTGTAGTCCTGCAAATTAAGAAAAATGGGTGCAGTGCACAACTTTACATAAATTGGATGGACCAGCTGTGTACATTTAGTGTCTTTTAATTTTACACAATGAACTGATTCGTAAATCTTTCCACTTATAGAAATGCAGCGCTAACAGAAAGGCACTTTTAGAAGATGCGCGCAACTTCTATCAATTCTTACAAGATCAAGAGGACGAAGAAGGGTGGCTGATTGAAAAACAAAGAATATGCCAAGCTGATATATCCGCAAAAGATCTCAGGGGCGTTCTCAGCTTGCAACAGAAACATAAATCTTTGCAGGACGAGATTAAAAGCAGGAAAAGCAAATTTGACCAGTTAAGTAAGTTGCTTTTTAATTTTTATTTTGATTATTTGTACCTGTGACAATAGAAAAGTTCATAATAATGAAGATGCCGCGAAATAGGGGACTGTTAGCAATGCATTTTTTGTTGCCCTAGCCAATTGTCAGAAAACAAGAGCCTATTTGGATTTTGTAATAGACCTAACCTTCATGGCGCTACAATGATCTTGTCATTTCTTTATGGAACTTAAATGGAATTTAACATTTTTTTCTTACTCTACAGTGTGCATTGTTTATAGTCGAGCTAGGCATTTAGGCCAAAAAATCACTCTTTATAAGAGTATCAGCGATAGGGGAGACCCATTGGGGCTATAATTTTGGCTCACACAAACATACTATTAAAAAATACGAATATAAGTGAATCATTTCATGAAACTTAACTAAATCAGTTGTTTTGTGGTGTTGGGAGGGGAGGAGGTAAGCATCTTTTCAATAGGAAAATAATGAATTGCCAAAACTTATCCCTCCGACCAGAAATATCCCAAAAGCTTTTGATGTAATCAAGTACGTCAAAGAGCCTATCATCGGTCTTGTTACCCCTACCCTAATGAGCCCACTATGGTGTATATGGTCAATACAAAGTTTGTGCCGATTATCATAGTAGTTCTGCATAGTTCTACTATCTCTTCAACTCTTATCTATACTGCGAGAGTAAAATAGTTCCTTTACAGCTAACATTGGAAAACAACTCATTCAAGAAAAACATTCCGGCGCCTCAGAAATTCAAAAAAGAATTAATAATACAAAGGAGGAATGGGAGAAACTAGAAAGATTAGTCAAAGAACGTACCAAACAGTTACAAGATGCTGTTGCCGTGTATCAATTCTATGCAGATGCCAATGAGGCTGACTCATGGTTAAATGACAAGACTTCAATTTTGACGTCGACCGATTATGGTTCAGATGAGCCTAGTGCGCAAGCGCTCCTACAAAGGCATAAAGATTTACAAGGCGAACTAAATGCTTACAAAGGCGATATACAAAGTTTGAACAGCCAAGCCGAACGACTTGTCGCAGATGGTATTTCTAACTTGGATCTAACGTCAGAGACTGAGGTAACGGAACCTGTGGAAGAATGGATACAAGAAACTAGGTAAACTACTGTAAGTAAAAGTGTTTGTCCAAGCTTTGTTTTTTCAGACTGGTTCCAGTTGAAGTCTTTGAAGAGGAGGAGGTCGAGAGAATAGAACACAAACCTCACACTGAAGAACGGCTACTTCCGCAGGTACGCGCATTATACCCCTTTTCGGGCCACGGATTCAACATGAGCAAGGGTGAAGTGATGTTCTTATTGCACCAAAGCAATCCAGATTGGTGGAGTGTTAGGCGAGCAGACGGGTCCGATGGATTCGCGCCCGCGAACTATCTAGTGGAAATCGAACCACGGATAATGCATATCCAGGTTCGTAAACCCGAGAAGGTAAAGGTCAAACAAAAGGTGAAGAAAACGAAGATGGTACACCAGAAAGTACCCGTGAAGCTGATGACGCAAAGTACTAAGAAGGGGAAAAGGAGTGTGGATGAAAATGATAGTATACCAAAGCGACAGAAGAAAATCAATGACACCTATGGTGAACTGCAAAAATTGGCAGCGCATCGTCACACTCTCTTAGAGGATGCCATTCGCCTCTTCAGGTTTTACAGGGAATGTGACGACTTCGAAAAGTGGATTAAAGACAAGGAGAAGTTTTTATTGAATGACGAGGAGGGGGGTAACGTTGTGCAAGCCAAACGAAAATTTGAGGTAGGTTTCCATTTGTGAAAATCAATTTCTTATGTTTTCTTTTCAGAAATTTTTAACAGATTTGTTTGCAAGTAATAAGAGAATAGAATCACTCGATAATGAAGTAAAAGAGTTGGATGCTCAAAACCACTCCCAAATCGGCAAAGTGCGTGCGCACCACAAACAAGTACACTCTGCCTGGCAAAGGTTGAACAGGCTAAAGTCTGAGAAAGAAAGAAGTCTAGAAGGTGCAAGCAGTGTGGAACTTTTCCAAAGAACGTGCGATGAAGCCAAAGATTGGATGTTGGAGAAAATGATGCAGCTTGATATTGCCGAGATCGGTTCTGACCTTAAAACCGTACAAGCTTTGCAAAGACGCCATCAGAACTTAGAGCGTGAATTAGCGCCTGTCGAAGAAAAAGTAAATAGAGTACAACTTTTAGCAAACTCTGTTAAAAAGGCACATCCAAACGAGCGTGATAATATCACCAAGCGAGAGGACGAAATTAAAGAATTATGGCAGAAAGTTAAAGGTAAAGCTAAAGAACGCAGGAATAGACTGGAAGATGCAGTAGGTCACAAGATCTTTGACAACAGCGCTCGAGCTCTACTTGGTTGGATTTTTAATGTAAAAGAGCAGCTGAATGCGGACACAACGGCTAGAGACGTACAGACTGCCCAAAACCTTTTAAAAAACCACAAGGACTTACAACAAGATATAAAAGCGCAAGAAGACGAATTCAGGGAAGTTACCAATTTGGGACGACAGCTATTAAAATCCAATCCATCTTTAACTGACGTAGCCGAAAAGATAGAAAGACTAGATGCAGAAAAGGCTGCAATATTAAGAGGTTGGAATGAAAAACAGAAATGGCTGGAACAGTGTTTGCAGTTGCAAATGTTTAACAAGGAAGCTGATAATATAGACGCGGCAACGTCAAGTCATCAGGCGTTACTCGAATTCAATGACCTTGGCGCATCACTAGACGAAGTCGAGGCTCTTTTGAAACAACATCGTGTATTCGTCGGTACACTAAATGCTTCAGATGAACGCCTAGGTGCGTTTAGTAATGGCGCAGACGCTCTTATCGCCGCAGAGCATTACGACAGTCAAGCGATCAACGATAAACGAAACCATGTAATACAACGACGACAAGCCGTCAAAGATCTGAGTCATGCGCGTACGAATGCCTTGGAAGCGTCTAAAAATTATCAGGAATTTTGTGCGGAGGTTAACGACTTACGCAAATGGTTGGCGGAAAAATTGAAGACTGCTTCGGACGAGAGCTATCGAGATCTTAGCAACCTGGAGCGTAAGCATCAAAAGCACGAGGCGTTTGAACGGGAATTGCGCGCAAACGAAGGCCAGCTACGTACTATAAACAAATTAGGGCAAGCGCTGATTGCGCAAGACAGTTACAGAAAGGAGGACGTCGCTAAAACTCTACACGATTTGAATGACGAGTGGAAGCATTTAGTCGGAATTTCATTGGATAAGGGTCGGCGGCTGCGCGAGGCCGTTGCCCAGCATGATTACAACAGTGCGCTCGAAGATGTGCATAATAAATTAGATGAGATTGATGGTCAGCTCAAAAATGCCCATTTGGGAACGGACTTGCGATCCTGCCGTGATCTTCTCAAGCGCCATGAGCTCCTAGAGAGTGATCTTAATTTGTGCGGCGTGCGTATTGACGACTTGGCGAATCAGAGTGAGGAAATGTCCCAGGACGGGCATTTTAATTCGGGTGCGCTACGTGATAACGCCTTCAACGCTCAAAAACGGCTCAAAGATCTCGAAAAACCAGTCACTTTGCGCAAGGAAGCTCTTCGAGAAGCCCTTAAATTTCATATGTTTGCTTTTGTGTTGGATAACGAATTGCAGTGGATTAAAGAACGTCTCCCGCTTGCAGCTTCTGAGAGTTTAGGTCAAAATTTGTACGATGCCCAGATGTTTTACAAGAAACATAAAAAGTTGGAAACCGAAATCATGGGACATCAGCCAGTAATTGACAAGGTTCTCGCAGAGGGTGAAACGCTAGTCGATTTAAATCATCCACAAAAGAAAAAGGTAAGAAGATTTGTAATCTGAAATACGATATGTTTATTAGTCATCTCTCTACAGCTAATAGGTAGTCTATGATGAAAGATTCTGAATCTAGTGAGTTTCGTGTTTAGCTGTGCATGAATTGTGTGTGTGTGTGTCACCGCTTTTCAATTTTAATTTTTTTGCACGATTTCATATAACTGTGTTGCTTACAATTCTGATAACTAGCATTTGCATCAACAGGTGTAATAATAATAATAATTCCTTGATCTTTTATTTACATACAGTGATCACTTTAAATAGCGTTCTACAGGGTGATGTTTACCAACATCTAAAATACAGGTTGTCTAATGGCGAACTTGTTTAATATATGGGAAACTAATGGGAATAGATTTATGAAAAGTTGTGGATAAGAGTTATATGGGATGAGTCCATTGCAGCTAAAATATACATTAAAATAGAGTAAATTTGATGCTTAAATGGAATGGCGAGTTCGTGTTTTATTTTCACTAGTTCAGTAGAACATTTGAAATAGTTTCATGTACAGGTCAGGTTCACCCTCTAGTTTGGCATTGAATAAAAACTTAAAAAAGGGTACGCTCGACAGTCTGGCACACCCAGTGGTCCATCATTAAGCAACTCGACTGGCCTACTCTATAATTCATCACTACCCTAGCAGTTGAGCGTATTTGTAAAATTTGCTTTCGTGTCTGGTCCTGCCCTGACCTTAACAGTCTTTTTGCATTTGTTGGCGCTTGCCTGCGTATAGAGTGCTTAGTAGTGGTCCGTGCGTTGGTCACTTAGTCAAGATGCCCCTTAGTATTTTTTACAAGATATACGGACGTGCTTCTACTATTCATTCCATTGTTGACACTTCTCTTTAAAACAAAGCTTCTATTTAACAGAAAGTTTGTACTTTAAAAACTGAGAGGATTTAGCTTGAATTCATGACCACCCTGTATACTTTTTTTTGGACTGTTGTTACTTGGTAAGGCCTAGGTCTCATCGGTACTGCATTTGTCTCACAAAAAGCAATTTATTTTGTGAAGGATTGCATTTGCCAAAAATGTCTAAAAAAATATAAATAATTTAAACATTGTTCGGTTTAGAGACTTAGCATGCACTTGAAGAAATTAACATTTAAAATAGTACCGTATGTTTCAACTTCCGGGGTCATTAAATACCAATGTACAAATTAAAAAAAAGTTATTCTCGTATATTAATCAACTTAGTTCGTCGATGGACACCCTGTATACACAGACAAAGGTATGAGATGCCAAAAATAGAATTTATGTAACTTAATTTTTGTACTAGGATAGCAGGGAAAATACATTTTTTGCAGGAAATTTATTGTACCTCCTTAACTTTCAGTTGATAGCTCTTGATGATACTTTTTTAAACATTTTGGTTTAAAACACTTAAAAAAAAGGTTTGATGATAAGGAAATGTCAAAAACTTTAGGTACATAGGCAGTTTATAAAGTTCAATAATTTTTGCATTTTCAGTCAGCAAATTACCCTTATTTTAACTTAATTTAATTTATTTAACTTATGACAGAAATTGAAACAGTTGCAAATGGACTGTCCCTGTTAGCAACATCTATGCAGAGCTGGGTCGAGCGTTCTAAAAAACCGTTCGAGCGACGAACGGTCTAATTCTCTCAAAAATGCTCGCGAGCATCGAGTTGTTTTGCAAAGCGAAACCGCTTGCGAGTTCCAAGCACTCCTAAAAGTGCGCGAGCGGTTTATCGCAAGTGCTCGGGAAAAGGGCTCGTGAGCGGAAAAACCGCTCGGTAGCGGAAAAAACGCTCGTGAGCGGCGCTAATCCTTCAGCGCTTGAGGGCGGTTAAAAGCGCTCACCAGCGAAAAAAAAACGCTCAGGAGCGGAAAAAGAGCTTGCGAGCAGGAAAAAACGCTCATGAGCGGAAAAACCGCTCGCGGGCAGAACAAAGCGATCGAGCGCCGAGCACTTTAAGTAAACGCTCGAGTATCGAGTGCCAAGTGACAAGCGCTTTTTCCGCTTGGAGCGCTTTTTCGAGCGGAATCCACTATCCAGCTCTGCTTCTATGCCACTTTTTTCAGAAAATGTGAATCTGTTATCAGAATTTCCATAACACGCTAGATAGAAAGCTACACGCTACTATCTTTCTTATTTCTTATGGACGCCATATTGGATTTTGATGGAATGAGATGGAGGAGAAAAAAATAAAGATAATGGCTTGTCACACTCTATACTTTTACATTAAATTTACAGGAAAAATTTCAAAATCAATGTTTGTTTTACATTAATTTCTCAATAAAATATCCACAGGTGACTAGATCTTGCTGAATCAACATAATTTAAATTTATGTAAAAGTATAGAGTGTGACACGTCATTATTTCTCTTTTTCTGTCTTCTACCTCATTCCGTAAAATCCAATATGGCGTCCATAAGAAATACCTGTAGCTTCTACATCTAGCATGTTATGGAATTTCTGATATTCTCTGAGATTCTCCGAAAAAAAGTGCCCATAGAAGGTGCTAATGGGAACCGTCTATTTCTGACCATTTAAGTTAAGGAAAATGAACATAAAATTTGACATTTTCAGTCGTTCGGTGATATCTCAGTTATCTTCAACGATTTTTCAAAAATGTCAAGTGCGTTTTTTTAGTTCGAAAAAGGGGTAACTTTGCCCCGATTTAACCTACACTGTATCTCTCACCGTTAAGGAGATCCCAATGGTGAGCCACAAATTTGAATCACCCTGTATATTGTTATAATCAAATTTGCTTTACATGGAGAAGTAAGAATTGCATGTTGCTCCTTGGAGTAGCCACACTTTGATCTTGAACACTTTCTTCCAATGTTTGGTTCAGGACCTCAAAAACTAATAGAGAGACAAAAAAAGGAATTATTTTGTTATATTTATTATTTTTATTTTTGCCTTTATTTTTGAGTGGGAGGGGTTTCAGCCAACTCTACCAACCCAACCCACTATACATTTACAAAACATCAATAAGATCAATATCTGTTTTTAGAGATTTTAGAAAACTTTGAACTTCCCAAGGTGACTCGACCACCGCTCATTTTTGATCGCCCGTTATTTCAATTCAATAGTCATAAGATCCCATACTGCATGTGGAGGTGCGGACGCAGTATAGTAAAAATCAAATGTGCGCATGCGCAAACTGCTCAATGCCACCTTTTTTATTTACGGAGATATTTTTTTGAAATTTAAGCCACAGATGACTTCTCCCTAAAGATCTTGTTTGATCATCTGGTACAAGACATTTTTATTTACATTGCTTTTAACTTTCAATTTTTTTAATTAACCAATTATTATTCATCAGATACAAGAGTTGTGTAATACACTGATCGAATCTTGGACAGACTTGAACGACAAAGCAACTAAGAGAACGGTTAAATTGGAATTATCATTGAAAGCGCAACAATTCTTTTTCGATGCCAATGAGGTCGAATCGTGGTTAAACGAAAAAAGTGATATCCTATCCAATACAGACTATGGCCGTGACAGAGATTCTTCCACAAAATTACTTACCAAACACAAAGCGCTTGAACTGGAATTGGATACATACAACAGTATTATTGCGGAAATGGGTCGTAGTGCCCAAGGTCTCATTATGTCGGGTCATCCCGAATCGAAAGCGATAGCTGAACGGCAAGCCACTCTAGAGCACCTGGTGAGATCGCTGCAACGTCGTGCCGCCGCCCGTCAACACCGACTGATGGAGTCTCTTTTCCGGCACGAATATTTCTTAGAATCGGGAGATCTAGAACGATGGATCATGGAGAAGTTACAGCAGGCCACTTCTGAAGACTACGGATTGGATTATGAGCACTTAATTGTAATTTTGGTTCATACTTAGAATAGGTTTTTTATGTGTGTTTTTTTTTTAGATTTTGCAAGCCAAGTTTGATGATTTTAAGCATCGTGTGGAAGCAGGAAGCGAAAGATTTAATCAATGTGAAGATTTGGCGCAGAAGTTGATTGTGAACGAAAGTCCGTACAAATCTGATATAGAGAGCAAGCAATCACAGTTAGAGTAAGTCGTTGCATGAAATGGTGTGTGGGTTTGGTTTAGTTAGATTATTAGCTATCATTACTATAGTTGCATGATGTAATTATTTTCATACCAAATTAACTCTGATTTCTTCCATTTTTATGGTCAGTTATCAAGTGGAACCTACATCTGATTTTTGTTTGAAGAAATTAGAATTTCTATACAGGGTGGACAGTAGGTGCCATGGCATATGTTAATTATTTGAAAATCTTATTCGGTTGCAGAAAGGCGCATGTCTTTCTTCACAATCTGATGGTTGCAGTTTACGTTTTAGACCATGGTGAATAACTTTTTCGTAATTATAATATTAACAAACTTCCCATTTGCTGCGAACTAGTACTTATTGTAATTGTTTTTTTATATGCATGTGGATGAGGTACCCACTGTCTTTCCTGTAGTTTTGATTACAGGACTTATCAGACTTATGGGGCTTGGCTTCTCGTTAAGGTCCCCCACCATGCAAATTTTCAATTTGATTGTTTTCTTCCTGGAAATGGCTGCGAAAATCTTCATCCGCAGCGCGAAGATGACTTGATGTAGGCGATGGTCCGCTCTTGACTTAATTTCTTTCTTCGTGATCCACCTAATTGATCGCCTGACGAATGATCCATTCCCACTATTTTCACTCATGTTTATAGGTGCCATATTTTATCTGTCGTCTACCTCATATGCGCTTTATCTTTCAACGACAATTGATATAAATACTTAACTCGCGCTAGTATAAGCATTTTGTCATTTAACATCGGTAGCGAGTTGTATTTAACAAACTCTCCTCGCTCTTACTTTAATTACAATGATACTGCAGCATAATTAATTTACCCTATTTACATCTGAATTAAAATTGCATTTCTAACCGCGCTTATTACTTCACATTGCTAATTCCTGTTTAACTTCTTTACAGTTAAATAAAATGGCAACTTGGATTATAAATAAACGAAATAATTAATTTCCCTACAAAGCTAAAAGACACATTCGCTCACACAATCTTATCTATGCATTTTTACTAAACTGTACAATTTTCTGTGCATACCGAAATCTCGTTACAGAATACTCTCTTGTTTTTTAGTCAGCTGTAAAGATGAATGAAAAACAAAACCAAAATATATAAAACTTTGGGTCCGTTAACTTGGCCCCCCCACTGAGAGATTTCATAGTCGTATTATTTTGAAATGAATGCGCTCGTTATGCGCTCATATGCGCCACCGATAGTAACTCTTGCGCCATTATCGTTTTTTAGAAATCCGAAAAAACATTTGGGGGGGCCAAGTGAACGTAGCCCCCCCCCCCAGTACGTATTTTGTCCCTTGTAACTAGGTCACCTGATACATTTGGTTATGCGCTCAATTGCGCCACTTGAATTAAAGCTAGCGCCATTACGGTTAAGCCATAAAAAATTTTTAAAAAGTGGAGGGTCTAACTTAGCGTTTTCAAAAGTTATTTCCGGAAGTGCGTCCATTTTGAAAATAGTTTACATCGATTCGGCCTTCGGAGTAACTCCTAAATACAAATTTTTAAAAACCTACCTATTTTACTTTCTCAGAATCGTTTAACTAAAGCTCCCCAAAAAACACCCTGTATAGTGTTTCTGAAACACTATAATGGCGCCAAGATTTTTGTTTACGGCGCATTTTAGCGCATGATGAAAGGTACGATGTAGTAGAAAAAACATGTTAAAAAACGTAACTTTTGAAATCGTTAAGTAAGCCCCTCCCCCCTTTTTAAAAATTTTTTATGGCTTCAACCGTGATGGCGCTAGCTTTAATTCAAGTGGCGCAATTGAGCTCATAACCAGATGTATCAAGTGGCACAAATACCGGTAGCAAAATGCGTTATGGGGGATTCCGTTCACTTGGCCCCCCCCCAAATATATTTAAGGATAACCAAAAAACAATAATGGCGCAAAGATATCTTTTTACGGCGCATTTCAGCGCATACCTGAGAGTACAATTTCGTATGAAAAGATGTTAAAAAAAGTAACTTTTAAAAACGTTAAGTTGGCCCCCCCACTTTTTGAAAATTTGTCACGGCTTAACCGTAATGGCGCTAGCGTTAATTCAAGTGGCGCAATTGAGCGCATAACCAAATGTATCAGGTGACCTAGTTACAAGGGACAAAATACGTACTGGGGGGGCTACGTTCACTTGGCCCCCCCCCCAAATGTTTTTTCGGATTTCTAAAAAACGATAATGGCGCAAGAGTTATTATCGGTGGCGCATATGAGCGCATAACGAGCGCATTCATTTCAAAATAATACGACTATCAAATCTCTCAGTGGGGGGGTCAAGTTAACGGACCCTAAAACTTTGCCTTCTGAACTAAAATAAATTTTTTTTGGGTGGGAAAGTGCCTATAAGGATGATCAGGATATTTAGTTTTCTTGTTGCCTTTTTTTTCCTTTTCTTCCAATTTACAAGATTTCTTATCTCCTCAATTTGTTCTTCTTCGATTATGTCTTCTTTCCTGAAACCCTTCTCAAGTTTTCTTCACTTCTTTCTCATATTTAATTTTTACTCTTCCTATCGTTATCGCGTGGTTATTTTACTTTTTTTTAGTATTTTCCTACTCCAAAATTCTGTAGTATAAATCTTGACTTCTTGATTATTTAATATTAATCTCTTCGGTCAGACTTGGTAATTATTCTGCTTCTTCAATTTCTGCTTCGTTTCCGATATATTCTTCTTGTTTTTCTGATGGGTTATAATCTTTTTCTAACTTCTGCTCTGCTGCTTCTTATCTCTCTTGAATGTCCATAATTTTCTTGTCTTGTAATTTGATCTTATCTTTTTTGATCTTTACTTTTTGTCTTCTTGTTAATTTGTTAATTCTTTGAGTAACTGTTCTTCTAATATTTCTTCTATATAATTACTGGTTTCTTCCGTTTGCTGTCCTACCCCTCCAACTTCTCGAAACCGATTGGTTCACTCTCCATGTTTTTTTTCTTGATCTTGTTCTATTTCTTCTTTAATTTGATTTAATTTATTGTTCAATTAGATTATTTAAATTTTCTTTTCCTTTGTTATCAACTTCTTTGGTTTGTTGAATTAATTTGTGGTTTTCGTTTCTGGTTTGGTTTGTAACAATTTTTTAGCGCATTTTTTAAGAATGGAACTAGTTTTATCCTTCATGGTACTCTAATGAAAGGTCTCAACGAAAGGAATTAATTTCTACCAACCATAGCTCTCCTCCTCGACCTCTTATCGTGATCGGGTATATTCCATTGGTGATGTCAAAACAAAAGCTATTTCGGTAAAAAAAATGCGCTTTATCTGCACAAGAGTTGTGCACAATTTATACTTGTTATAAAATGTATGAAATTGTTTTGCTCTTTGCTTCTTGGTATCGTCCTATAGTAGTGGAGTTCCTGGTCCCTGGCTCGGTAGGCTTCCTGATCCTGTTCAGATGATGGACTGATCCCCTCCTTGAATAGTCAAGATGTCGTGCAAATTCTCTCTCTCGCCGGTTGTAACCACCCGAAAAGGCGAAAGGCATGCGCAGTTCAAAGCCAGCTGATCAACATTAACATAAACTGTTCATGATCAGAGTAAAGTTGATAACATCATTCTTAGTCGGTGGGTATTCTAAAGCATGCTTAACTACGTTGTCAACTAACAATGTTGTTAAGGCGTGTGATTGGATGTTTTTTCAAAGAATAACATCATTCTTTGCATAAACATCCACTCACATGCCTTAACAACATTGTTAGTTGACAACATTAGTTAAGTATGCTTGATAATACCGGCTGAGTAAGTTTGATGTCATTTTAGCATAAACTTATGGTGTATGTGACTAGTTTGTTACTTGTTAGTTAGTATAAAGTAGTATTATTAATACTTATCCTGAAAGCATGCGTATAGGTTGTGGTACTAACTGTTTTAGAATTGCGGAACAATCAGATGTGGTGGAGGAAGTAAAAGCTCGTCACTTGGATATATGGTAAATTTCTTTTAATATTACTTTGTGGATGTTTGTTCAAAATTTCTGATAAAAAATTCGTTTGTTTTGCATTGTACGCGATATTTTTTAGTGAGAAATGGCAGAAACTTCGTGAACAAATAGCAAGTCGAGATAAGCGACTTCATGCCGCTGGAGAAATACATCGCTTCCACAGGGATGTTGCCGACGCTCTTTCCAGAATACACGAGAAGAATGCCGCATTAGGTACCGAACTTGGGCGCGATCTCAATTCTGCTCTGACGCTGTTACGTAAACAAGAGGCATTTGAAAATGAATTGGTAGCGCTAGAGGCACAACTTCAAGTTCTTGTTGACGATGGCGCCCGATTGCAAATATCGTATCCCAGTAACAAAACGCAGATTCAACAGCAGCAGGAAGTTGTTGTGACTGCGTGGCATGGTCTTAAAGAGCGTGCGGACTTGCGGCGCGATCAACTACAAGCTAGTGTAGATTTGCAGAAGTTCCTTTCTCAAGCTAGAGATTTGACAAGTTGGTCTTCAGGGATTCGACTGGCAATGGGTACGGATGTAAACGTGAAGGATTTGGCTAGCGCCCAAGCACTTAAAATTGAACATGAATCATTAAAAAGTGAAATTGAAGCACGTGAAGACACCTTTCAGGCTGTAGCCGATATGAGTACTGCTATGGAGCAAACAGGTAATAATGTTACGCAATAGTAAAAGTTTGTAACATTTTTTTTAGGTCACTATGCTTTCAGTGAAGCAGTTGAACGGTGCACGGCTTTATTCCAAGAACGCGAGAAGTTACACACGGCATGGCAATTAAAGAAAATCCATCTTGATCAGTTAATTGATTTACTGTTCTTCTTACGAGAAACAAAACAAATTGAAAATATATGTAACACCCAAGAAGCTGCTTTAGGTACGATTAATATTACAATTTCCATTCCTTTATCAAGGCGTTTGGATTTTAGGTAACACCGATTTTGGGGAAACTGTTGATGAGGTCGACAGGCAGTTGAAAAAGCACGACGCTTTCGAAAAACTATTCAACTCTCAAGAGGAACGTATTGATCATTTGTTAAAATCTGCAGACAAATTAATTTCTCAAAAGCACTTTGAAAGTGCCCAGATAGCCACTTCAGTTGCTGAAGTTCAACAAAAGCGTTTACATTTGCGCCATCTTTGTGTGCAAAGGCGCCATCAACTCGAGAACGCTTTGCTTTACGCGCAGTTTGTGAGAGATGTTGTGGATGCTCAAGTGTGGATAGCGGAGAAAGCGAAGAAACTGCAATCTGAGATTAAAACTGGTGAGGTTAGCAATCTGGAGGAAAAAATGAAAGAGCTTCAGAAACATCAAGCGTTTCAAGCGGAAATTGGCGCAAACGAGAGCCGAATGACGGAAATTCACGAGAAAGGCAAAATTTTAATTGCAAAACGTCACAAAGCATCCAGTGATATTAAACAACAACTTGCCAATCTTGAAAGTGCATGGAAGCTGTTGGTACACGAAGTCAATTTGCGAGGAAAGGGTTTGGAGGAGGCTCAAGACATTTTAGAATTCAATAACCAATTGGACAAATTAGATGCTTGGATCCGCGATAAAGAGGTAATGGTGCAAGCTGGCGATACTGGAAGAGATTTTGAACATTGTCAAGCACTGCAGCGGAAATTAGATGATGTCGATAGCGATATGAGGGTTGATGATGCAAGAATCAGAAACATCAACTTCTTGGCCGACAAGTTAATTCATCAGGGACACTCGGGCGTAAAACCTAGACGTGATGGTTTTATGGCTAAGTGGCAGAATTTGCAAGGCGCACTAAGCCAGTATCGTGAAAAGCTGGCGGGCGCGTTAGAAGTACACTTATTTAATAGAGACGTGGACGACACCTCGGAAAGAATTAGCGAAAAGGCACACGCAATGGATAGTGAGGATGTAGGTAAAAATTTGCATCTTGTCGAAGCTTTGCAACGCAAACTAGAAGCGTTGGAAATGGAAATGACTGCTGTTGAAAGTAAACTGAACGAACATGGTAGAGATGCATTCGAATTGAGTGACAAATACCCGCATAGCGCCAAACACATTTCAAGTAAATTAACGGCAGTACAAGACGAATGGAATAAGTTGTGTCTTTCAAAAAATAAAAGGCGTTCAAATTTGGAGAGGGCGTACACGAAGCAAAAGTTTTTGTCTGATCTTAAGGATTTGGAGTTGTGGACCGATGAAAATATCAAATCAATGGAGGACACAAATAAACCGAAAAGCATATCGGAAGCAGAAGCTCTCATAGAGCTACACAACGAAAAGAAGGCCGAGATTGATGGACGCCAGGAGGTCTTTGAGCATTTACACAATTTTGGCAAGAGTATTAAAGACGAAGATTCAGAAATAGAGGAAGCCTTGGAAAGACTGCAGAAATTAAAAAAGCTACTGACGAGCAAATGGATGAAGCACAAAGAGGATTTAACTCACGAATACCAACTGCAAGAATTCAAAGAGCAAGGTGACCAGTTGGAGTCATGGCTAGCAACGAAAGAGGCATTTTTAAACAATGACGATTTAGGTGAGAGTACAAGAGCTGTCGAAACGCTAATGAGAAAGCATCAAGATTTTGAAAAAATGTTGAATCAGCAAATGAATCGAGTTACCGATCTACAAGAAGTAGCGAAGATTATATTGTCAGACACTCGGTATGATAATCAAGAGGTTAAACATAGACTGCAGGCAATATTAGAACGACAAGATCGTTTGCTCGAGAGCTCTAAGATCCGTAAACAAAAGCTCACAGAGTCTCAAGATTTGTACGAGTTTAGGAAGAATATTTACGAGGTCGAAAATTGGTTGACTCAGAAAATACAAATCGCTGGTGATGAAAATTATCGAGATCCTAGCAATTTGCAAAGTAAAATACAAAAGCATTCCACATTTGAAGCAGAAATACTAGCAAATCAGAATCGAGTGCAAGCTGTTATTGTAGAGGGCCAAGGTCTGATCACCGCCAAACACTTCGCCGCAGAGGAAATTCAAAATCGGCTCGAAGATTTAGAAAACGATTGGAAGCATTTAAGTGAACTGTCGCAGCTTAAACGTGAACGTCTTAATGACGCATATCAAGCTTTGCTGTTCGATAGATCCTTGGATGAATTCATAACGTGGCTCGATGAAGTTGAAGGCCAGCTGAAATCCGCCGATTACGGAAGAGATCTATCTTCTGTGAATAATTTACTCAAAAGACACGCGGTGCTCGAAAACGATATTCATCAGCATTCCGAAAATTGCGAAATTATAAACGAGACGGCGGAAGACTTTTTGCGAAATAAGCATTTCAGAGGGGAAGAGCTACATGAAAATGCTCAGCAGGCGATAACCCGTTTTCACCAATTACATGGACCTTCGCAAGCTAAGAGAGATCTGTTAGAGGCGTCTTCCATGTTGCATCAATTCACCCGAGACGTGGAGGATGAACTTCTATGGCTTGCCGAAAGGGAACTGATAGCTGCTTCAACGGATTTGGGTACTTAAAAAATTATTTCTTTATTATCTGTCATTTGGCATAATTCTTTATCTCCCCCCCCCCCCCCCCTCCTCTTCCAACAGTAAGTATATGTGAATACCTTTGTGTCAAAATTATTATTTGGTGAGAACTTTAAGCTTTTGATTAAATAAGTTTTATTTTTATATCCCTCTCCTTTCCTTCCCTCTTCTCTGTAATTGTAATAACAATGCAATACAACAAAACATTTTAAATAGTTTATAATTTTTACATTTTAGGGAATAGTTTAACAGCCGTACAGAGTTTGCAGAAGAAGCATCAGGTGTTGGAAACTGAATTACTGTCAAGAGAGCCTGTGGTCACTGCACTAGTTGCGCGCGGTACACATTTGTCAAGACCTGGACATGATTCGTTGGCAATCACAGAAAAAGCAAATAATTTGAAGAACAAACTGAGGCATGTGCGTGACCTTGCCAGCTTACGAAAATTAAGGTTACAAGATGCCCTAGAATCACAGATGGTGAGTTTCTATAAGTAGTACATTATTAGCGGATTTCCAATAAATTAAAAAAAATGCTAGTGTGGCCATTTTGTCCGTCCCTACGGCTGTGTCGCTACTAAATCTTTATCTTCTACTTGTGTCACTATTTGGTTCATTATGGTGTCGAGGCTTGCACCAGATAGGGGATTTTTCTGCACCACTTACGAAAAAAGTTATAACACTCCTCACACTTTTAACCTTTTGTGCTTATTGCGGTTATAAATCCTTTATGCTTGTTACAGTTTGCTACTTGATAGCGAAAACTCAAACCTCAGTTTTAGTGATCACTTTGAACCAGAAAAACCCAAATGTGTAATTTTATGTGAAGCCAAAGCAACAATATTCAAATTAATTAATATGAGAGCCAGATCTTTATTTGTTTTAAAAAGTTATTTTGATTGCATAAAAGGCACCCTTCAGAAGGATTTTGTCATTTAAAAGTAGACATAGTGAAAAACAATACAAGTAAATCCCTATGTTTACTTAATATCACTGTATATAAATAAAAATGAATGTGTGTCTGCCTATATGTGTCCTATACCTTCCTAAATAGTTCATTCGATTACATTGAAACTTTGGGGAATGGTTGGACGTATGCCCGCGAATTTTTCTATGTAAATAATTGTCTGTAGATACGGAATTTAACGTTTTCCAGTGTGAAGTTTACCAGGACAATAAAATGAACATGACTTTGACTGATAGGCGGTACAAGGTTCGCTGGATCTCACGCCGCCGGGTCTGCTATAGCGCGTTCGCACCTCCAAATTCAGTATGGTGCTTATGGACATACAGTACATGCTTGCCAAACGTGACGACAATGACAGCACAAGGAGATTATGTTTTGTTTTAATACTTCCATTTAATCATATGTCAATTTGACATCAATGCGGTTAGAAACAAGGATAGTATTATCGAAGAATGACGCAAACTAGTAAGAGAGGCAATTAGTCCATAAGACCCCATACTGAATTTGGAGGTGCGAACGCGCTATAGTTTATTATATGAGCGTGTTACAAAAAATGGATTGTGCATGCGCAGACTTTTAATTTATGGACGAATGTTTCTTTTCTTAATAGAATGTGCTTCGTATAAATCAAATTGAACTGTGTTAAAAAACTAGTTTGCGCATGCGTAGCACATAAGTCTCTTATTTGTGGACCATTTTTATTTTAAATGAAAAGGCGTATGAAAAAAATAAGATTGCGCATGCGCAGATAAAACTTTTATTTGTGGATCACTTTTTCAAAAATTGTAATTGAAGATGAATTGGAGCCACACGTCAAAAACTGGCATGTGTATGCGCAAAGTCAACTGTTTTAGTTGGAAGCAGGTTTTTCTGAAATTTTAACAGTGCTTTTCAAATAACGGTTTGTCATCCTTTTGGTTAAATGACTGAAACAAATTTGTCTGGCGTGATCTAATTTCTTGGGAAAAAAATTATTATTGTGGAAATGCGCCTTTTGTAAATCGTGTATGATTACATTTGTAACTTGCAGTGGCGGCGCGTAGTGGTCTGTCTTGGTGGTGCACAATTTAAAAATGGGGCCACGGGCAAAAAGCCGGAGGCGAAAATTTTTTGAGTGTCACTGCAACACGAAGTTTTTTGGGCCTATTAAATGGCATAAAAAAGCTTATTGATGAGACCTCTAAATACTCCAGGGTTTATTGAATTTTCTCGTTTTGTCAATGGCTGCGGAGAGCAAGTTCCAAAGCACCACAAAATTTTATACGGTCTAAAATTTTGGATAAAACATACCTGTTCTTTTTTACTTCCTCATTACGTTTTTCGATACTCAAACGGTATGCACTATTTAACTGCTGCCTTATATCTTGCTTACCTAATAAATTAAATCTCAATTTAGCAGATATATGATGTGCCTTTGAAGATTGATATTTTTTTATTTTTTCGGATAAATGCACTAAGTCTGTAACGCCATCTTTGTCCATTCTGATGCCTCATCACCGAGCTCATCACCAAACAACAAACACGGAAAACAATACAGACTATTGTTAAAGGTACAACCGCATAACCAGTCAATTTTTTCATACATGTCTATTTTAAACGATCGTCTATAATCCCGACTTCCTTTATTGATTTTCGATATTTCCAAACTCGGTTCTGGGCGACCCGCATTTTTTATTTTAATTTGATCTTCTAATTTTAGTAAATTAAATTTAATAATTTTAAATAATGAACGGTAACGTCGCAACGTTACTTGTTAAAATCGAAACGATCAACGAGCCCTACTTCGTAGTCCGGCAAATACTGGTTCACAATGAGAGTGTGCTCTTGCTATGCTTTACAACTTGGACCTTCGCGGGGCGCACGGGGAAAGGCGACGTAGCGTTTGAACGAATCAGAGATCGTAGCTAACTGTGCACTGCACGGGAAGGCGGAATGGGAATAATTCTTAATACACGTTCAGCGGTGTGTCAGTGTACCTTAAGGTTTTGCATTTCAGATAAGATAAGTGAACTATTTTTATTGCAAGAATGTTAAATGCCTACATAAATAGAATTGTTATTGTTTTCGTTTTTTTAAAATGATTTTTGGGAGTGCACGTGCTCATGTGCACTTATTGAGAAACCGCCACTGGTAACCTGTTAATCTTTTACACTCTGTTCATTGTGCCTCATTTTGCTGAGTATGATCAAAATTTTTATATTAGTAAGTACTTGAACTCTAGCCTTAGAGAGGAGGGTGGGAAGTTTATTGGTATAATCTGGAATGATGTGATTAGCTTTCTTTCCATAAGCTCTACCGGGGTCAGAAAAAACAGCATTCGTAGCACTTTAAAAAATATGGTCAAGCAGTAGGGATGGAATCGAGCTGAGCCAAACTTTTTGAATACTCGGCTTGGCGCGAAATTATGGATGTCCAACTTGACTCGAAAAAATTAGCTCAGCTCAGCTCACTTTAGTTTCGAGCTGCATCGAACTAAGCTGGTATTCAAAACAATGGAATTTACAATATTGAAGAAAGTCTAAGTAATTTTTTGAGGGACCGCTGAATGTCGTGAAAAAGTTTCCAGGGCTGCTGCGATTTTTCAAAGTTTCAAAACAATCAAAAAATGTTAAAAACCTCACTTTTTTAAATTGCAATTATTTCTATTCTATTTCTGATGCTAGAAATGAATGTAGATTTAAATTTCAGGGCCACTTGTATTAACATTCTGTATGCTTATTTCTGGTAGTTTTTGAGTAACAAATTAAAAATGTAATAATAAAAATAATGATCCATAGTGAAAATTGGACGAATTAATTTCCATATTAACATAACACTGTTTGACATTTGATTCAAAGTGTAAATAAAACCAAAGATCCAAAGATTACTACACTTGATAAAAAATATGGTCTGGTAGAAGATTTTATTTTTCCGACTAGTTTAAATGGTAAAGAGAGAGAAAAAACTAACTTTGCCAATGCAACTGACGTCGGGAGAAATTTCTGTGATCAAAAATCAACAAAAAAGACAGACTTTAAGTTTTTCTAAAACAACTTGCCAATGTCAATGCTTAGGTAAAATTATGTTTTACTCAACATTGTATAGTGTAAAAGTACCTTTCAATTGATATTTTATTTGGCCCTCTGGCATCTATAGTTTAGGACAGGGGTCGTCAACCTTTATGAACCTAGGAGCTGATTATTTGGTTTAAATTTTCAAAGATCGACCGTCAATTGGAACTTTATTTTATTAACGGTTGACGGTTAACCCATATTTAATTGTATTATAATTGTATAATTATAATATAATACAATTAATAATAGGTTCATGTTCTGGTGTTTTCCAACTGTTTTTCAGTTACCTCGGTTATACTTCTCATCACATCAGGCATACAATTGAAGTTAAAATTTCGAATTACAATTACAAAAACTTACCTTAGTAAATTTCTTGTCTTCTTTCTTACACTTATTAAATTCACGATTATCTAGTCTAGATGGTGAACTTGGTTTTTTAAGGAACGAGAATTAGAAATAAAGAACTGCATGTTTGTTGATTTATTAAAATTAATGGGATACTTGACATTGCATATTTTCACTAATCTTCGCATAATTTGGCATATAATTACTAGTTGAAAGGCGCAAGCAGTCGTCGAGATGCTCGTCTGTCAGTCGCGTTCTGTACTTATTCTTGATAATATTCATGTGCGAGAAACTGGATTCACAAAGATAGGTGCTCCCAAAGCAAGAAAGAATTCGGAGATACATATCTTTTAAGCATGGATATGTTTCTGGATTTAACAGTTTCCACATGTCCGTGATTTGTTGACTCTTCATAATAATGTCGTTTTGTAAATTTATAATTTCTAATTCCAAGCTTTCTTTATTAATATTGAAAAGCGATTCAATTTTCTCAGCCACGAGTTCAATTTCTGTAGCATCAAAGGGGGAGGTCACAAAGCACATTATAGGTTCCAAGTTTTTAAATTCAGAAAATCTCTTCTGAAATTCCTCCCATATTTTTTCTAAAAGAACTGCAAATCCTTCATAATTATTTTCTTCTTCTTCACCGTTTTCTTCCGTTAAATTTGAAAAATGCTTCAAATCCCCCTTACGTAGTTGAGAAATCCATAATTTTAGTTTCATCTGAAATGAATTGATTGAAGATATCATATTGGCTATATTTTTGTTTCTTCCTTGTAATTCAAGATTCAACTCATTTAGTTTTGTTGTGATGTCCGTTAAAAATGCTAGTTTTTGAAGCCACTCCACGTTTTCAAGAAAAACGATGTTTTCATCCTTCATTTCCTTCAGAAATTCTTTAATATGGGGTACTAACTGACGAAATCTGACCAGAATTGACCCTTTACTTAACCACCTGATTTCATTATGAAGAAGCAATTCATCATAGTCAGCCTCAACTTCGTTGAGCAGGGATTTAAATAAACGGCGTCTCATTGGCCTGGCTCTAATAGAATTTATAATTTTTATCGTGGTTTTCATCACGTCATCTAAATTTAACAATTTGCCGCATAATG